CCAAGCTCGAGGTGCTTGTTTCAAACCATATAGGGCACGGAGAAGTTTGCATACCTTGGAAGAGGTAGGAAAACCAGGAGGAGGGGACATGTAGATATCCTCGGATAAATCACCATGCAAGAACGCATTCTTGACATCAAGCTGATGCAGGGGCCACCGACGAGCGGCAGCGATGGCGATAAGACAGCGGACAGAGGTGAGACGAGCAACCGGGGCAAATGTCTCCTCATAGTCGATACCATACTGCTGGGTGTAGCCTTTGGCTACCAAACGTGCCTTGTAGCGCTCGATAGATCCATCAGAGTTAGTTTTGATTCTGAATACCCACTTGCAGCCAATAGGTTTCTTGCCAGGGGGAAGATCAACCATATCCCACGTATGGGTTTTCTCCAAAGCCTGCAACTCCTCAGACATAGCCTGCCGCCACAACGGATCCGCATACGCCTCACGAAAGGACCTGGGCTCATGATGGGACAAGGTGGCAGAGAAGCAGTGATAATCAAGTAAGTGAGTAGGAAGGTGACTAACCCGAGTGGAGCGACGAGGGCCAGGATCAGGGGCTGAGATCGAAGTCGTGTCAGGCTCTGGTGGTGGTGATGTATCGGAGTCGAGAGCAAGAGTAGGCTCGGGGATCAGCTGCGGTTCAGGAGGCGCAACCGGGACAGCGTCAGGAGCGGGAGAGGGAGACGGAGCCGTGTCACTGGAAGGGAATAGGGGTGGAGAGGACAAGGTAAAGAACGGAGACGAACGATCAAAGGGGACTCGGAAGTGAGACAAGGAAGAGAATTTGGTATCCTCCCAAAATGTGACATGACGAGAAATACGTAGCCTATTGGAAATAGGATCCCAACAACGATAACCCTTATGTTCTAACCCATAGCCCAGGAAGCAACACAGACGCGCGCGAGGTTCTAACTTAGTGCGCTCATGAGGAGGGAGGAGGACAAAACTGACACAACCGAAAGGGCGGAGGAGACTATAATCAGGGGTACGATTAAATAGTCTTTCAAAAGGACTGACATTACCTAGGACAGAGGAAGGGACACGATTTATAGTGTGGACAGCGGTGAGTGCGGCTTCTCCCCAAAAGCGATCTGGACAAGAGGCTGATAAGAGAAGGGTGCGGACTGTATCGAGGATATGTCGGTGTTTACGTTCAGCGCGACCATTTTGTGGAGAGGTGTATGGACAGGAGCGTTGGACAGCAGTACCTTGATCAGATAAGAAACTAAGAAATGATGTATCAGTATACTCGAGAGCATTATCTGTGCGGAGAGTTTTTATAGTAGAGGAAAATTGGGTATGTATCATTTTAGCAAAGGTCATATAAATAGATGGAAGTTCAGAACGATGCCGCAGAAAGTAAATCCATGTAAAACGAGAATAGTCATCAATAAAAATCACAAAATAACGAGAACCATTCATAGACACAGTGGGCGAAGGTCCCCAAATATCCGAGTGAACTAAAGAAAATGGAGTATCCGCAATGGAAGTACTATGAGGAAACGACACAGCAGGTTGTTTTCCCAACGAACAATCTACACAATTAAAAGACTCAAACTTAACAGAACCCAAACTACCCTGACTAATCAAGGACCTGACTTTATTGGAAGACGCATGACTGAGACGACGATGCCACTGAAGGCAGGATGGTGTAGAGGTGGTGGCAGCTGAGATAGAGGGACGAGGGACCTGGAGTGACGTAAGTTCAAATAAGCGGCCCGTCTTCCGGCCCTTCCCAAGAGTCCGCCCGGTTTGCGCGTCCTGAACCTGCACACCAGTAGAAGAAAATAACACGGTGAGACCTTGATCAACTAATTGACCAACGGAAATCAGATTTAAGGTTAATTGAGGGATACAGTATGTGTCAGGGAGGGATAAGGATGAGGTGGATGTATGTCCGGTATGGGTGATGCGCATATGGGTACCATTGGCAGTAAGGATAGGGGGTAAGGATGGTGCGGTGGATGTGGAGGTCATAAGGCGTATATCAGAGGTCATATGATTACTGCAAGCAAAATCAAAATACCAAGGAGAGTTACCTGATGTGGTAGACATGGCGGTATTGGAAGATAGAACCTGTTTAAGAAGAGCTTCCAGGTCCTGAATCGTAGGAGGCGCAGGCGCAGGCGCAGCAGAGGCTGTGACAGAGGAGGTACCAGACTGAGGTCCACGAGAATTCCGAGGCTTGTAGTTACTACTTCCAGAGCGAGATGGTCTAGTGGGGCAATACTGTATAGTATGGCCTAAAACATGACAGTAGTGACACTCCACCTTTGGGCAATGACCGAAGTCATGATCAGAGGACTGACATCTTTTGCAACGATGAGAACGACTCTGAGTAGGAGTTCGGGCAGTGACCGCAAGAGCATAATCAAGCTGAGGAGCCTTAGCTAGGTGGAGACGAATTTCCTCAAACAGAATCTCCTGAATAGCTGCATCCAAGGTAGGAAGTGGATGCCGATGTAACAATGAGGCATGAACTGCCTCATACCAAGTGAGAATTTGATGGTTTTTACTATCCCAATCTTCCAATTTTTCAATATAAGATTCAACAACTGTGGCGGTAGGCGTAACTTCTCCTATAGAGACCGGAGCAATGGGGGCAACTATATCTCCCGTAACAATTCGCCACAATTTCCGACCTATCAAAAAACTTTTCATCGATTGTGCCCACAAACTGTAATTATCTCCAGACAAAACAACATTGATCGGAATATGTACATCCATCTTTTCCATAGAAACTCAAGAGAACCGAAAGCCGAAACGAAAGAAACCGAATCAAACCCGAAACACAAAAAGTCAACCGGATACAAAAAACTGCTCAAACGGAAGAAGTGAAGATACCATCGCGGAGGAAATCAAATTCCGAACATAACGGTGCAAAGATCGCCGCCAACGGCCGCCGCACGCGCCCCCACGCGCCGGCGAGGCGTCCGGCCGGAAAAACACGTCGGGCGCGTGTGACTCTCACGCGCCGCCGTTCGCCGAACTGTTCCGGTGTCCGGCCGGTCTCGTGACGGCAAAGACGATGGTGGTGGCGGTGACGGTCGGAAGTGATCGGAGATATGCTATCTGGAATTCGTGGGTTGTTTCGATTTAGTCGGGAAAAAGCATGGCTCTGATACCATGTTAGGATTTATGGAATAAACTTTATTTTGTTGAAACACAATTATGGTACAATATTATATTTATACAAGAGATATATTAGGTAGAATATATTTATCAATATATATAAAATATATATACTATATATATATCAACAGCCCACATGTGCATGTTGTGTATCTAATGAAAAACTAAAATGGTGGTGTTTTACTTGTATGTCTATATGCGGATTACTTGATTTTTACAGGGAATGATCCGAGCATGTTCGATGATTTTAAAAGGAGGATGACTAAAGAATTCGAAATGGCAGATTTAGGCTCCGTGTCCTATTATCTTGGAATTGAGGTGCAGCAAAGTGATGAAGGGATTTCCATCTCCCAAAAGGCTTATGCTGAGAAAGTGCTAAAGGATTTTGGCATGATGAATTCCAAGCCCGTAAGAACACCAATGGAGTGTGGGCTGAAGTTATCAAAATATGATGAAGCTGAAAAGGTAGATCCTGTTCAGAAGCTTGGTTGGTTGGTTGAGATATTTGACATGTACAAGACCAGATATCTTGTACAGCGTTGGCATCTTCAGTTGATTTATGGAATCACCAAGTTCAATCTATATGAAAGCAGCTAAGCGAATATTGAGATACATAATCGATTATGGTTTATTTTATTCTATTGTTTGATATTTTGGACTAACTGGATATAGCGATAGTGATTCGGGAGGAAATATCGATGACCGAAAGAGCACCTATGGCTATGTTTTTTATTTGGGAAATGCTGCATTCACTTGGAGTTCAAAGAAGCAAGAAATCGTCGCACTTTGCACCTATAACGCTGAATACGTTGCTGCTGCGTCCTGTGTTTGTCATGCAATTTGATTGCGAAAATTGTTGGAATATCTTCGCTATCCTCCAGATGAAGCTACTGCCATTCATGTTGACAATCGATCAGCAATATCTTTGAGCAAAAATCCTGTAATTCATGGAAGGAATAAGCATATTGACTTGCGATATCATTTCATAAGAGAAAGTGCTGTAAGGAATGAGTCCAACTCTAAGTATGTGAAGTTCAGTGATTTCAATTGGGCATGAGCACTCTTAGGTGTCACAAAGGTTCGAGTTTAAGGAGGGGTGTTGGTAATATAAACTTAACTTAAGATTGTCATTAAATTATGGATTAATTATTGTGTTTTGTCCGTTTAATTTCTCAGTGTTTGAGTTATGTGTTAAGGGACTGTTTGGTTGCTTTATAATTGCTATTTATAATGTCTGTGTATTCGTGTTATTGGAGAAGGAAGTTTCTGAATTGTCCACTCCCTTGTCCGATATTGCAATTTTTCTTATGTCAAATCCAACACCCCAGCCCCCACCGCCATTATTATTGAGTATGTAGGTTACTTCAGTTAAACGTGCCTGCGATTGTGTTGTAGATGGCAACTAGGGTTGCTGTTTCCACTACGATTATATAATTTCAAGATCCTATCTACTTCATTCCTCGATCTGTTCGCTAGCTAGTTTGTTCCGTTAATGTGTTGGCTAGTTCTGTTTGCTTGTTGTTAAGTTATAATAATTTTTTTAATTTTTAATTAGGCATGCCAAGTAGGTTAGACTTAGTTGCCCAACTGCGTGCATTCTGCGTTCATTTTAATTTCTACGATTCAATTCATTTTGGAAGAAAATTATATTTTATAATATATATCATATATATTATTGCAAGCTGCTAGGATGAGATGGGATCATTATGCCTTGTTGGGGCCTGAACAATTTTTTAATAGTCAAATTAAACTTCTGTCTAGATAAAGATTTTTAGTTTTTTGGAGTTTTGAAAAATTCTTTAAATTAGAAAACTTTATATATTGAGAATTATTTATTTATTTCTTTAAAAACATATGTGAGACTAGTCGGTGTTTGTTGCTTGATTTAGTCACTGTTGTAGAATGGAAGCCACATATCTAGGAAGAGGACATTTCATCCCAATTCAAGCACAAGGGATGTCACTGACTGGTAACAAACACAATTTATTTCATATAGAATTTTTTAGCCATTTTTTATTTTGTTCTAAATTCTAGTATTGTGCATTTCTTAATTTTATACCCTAATCGAGCATTGAATGAATTTGTGTGTGTGTATATTTGTGTTTTTTAATGGTTTTGGAAGATAGCTAAATTATGTTCATTTATGCAAATATATATATTCCACTTTGTCTTGATTTCTTCATTATCTTACGCTTTCTTTTATTTTTTGATTGAATTTGGTATTATTGATTGATTGACTAAACTAATAGCAGTAAAAATAAAATGATAAGCTTTTGTGTTTGCTACTGATTCATAATTGAATGAGGATTGTTGGAGTTCAATTGGCTATGTCTATAGGAATTTCATATTATCTTGAAATAATTTTAACTAAAAAGTTCAAATTTTGAAATTCGATTATTATAAACATGTGATTTGTCTGAACTATTTATAGTACTCTCAATATCAAACAGTTGCATCATTGAATGAAATGGCCGCCAATATTTGATACACTACCAAAAAAAGAGTCTTTCACCACGGCTCGACGGTTCGTTATAATAACATCGTAACAAATAATGGTTTTTGTTACGACAATTTCCGTGACCAAATATATATTTTCTTGGTCAACGTTTCAGGTTCTTTAATTACGCAAAATAATCCGTAACAAAAACGGAGTTGGTAGACTCTGTTCAAAATAACATTAGTTACGATTGTGCTTCGTAACAAATGGTGTTTACATTTATTTTTTATATTTAAAAGATATTTTGGATTTAAAAAAGGTAAAAACGCTATAGCGCTTTTGGAAAACTAAGAACGATTTCATACCCACACGCGCAGGCTTTCTTCTTCCCCTCCTCGGTGCCGAATAGATTTCACACTTAGCGAATTTCAGAAAGTTAGGGCACAACTCATTCTTCGACGCAATTTCTCAATCAGAAGACGCGACGTACTGGGCGAAGGTGGGATCGAGGAGGTTAATCAGCACCGGCGTCCAGGTAATGTTTTTAAGTTATCTCGAGTAGTATGAGGATCGATCCACGGATCTTCGTCGCGTCCTCTGTGAGGAGAAATCGATATAGGGCGTCGTAATATTCTTCTTCTTTCTCAGGTGGTATTGGGAATTTTATGGCTTGTGTGTGATAAACAGAACTTGATTAGTTGGTAGGATAACGTATTCTTGTGTTAGAGAACTAGTAGGCAGATTGTTTAAGTGCCCTGTGAAGTTTGATTTATTAATGGTGTAATTTTATCACATAATTATTTTGGTTCTGGAATTTTGGTTTTTGGTCTGCTGGTTTGAAAGGGAAGAATCTCAACCTGCACCTGTTCGACACTACCCTAGGATCAGTATGGGTTGTGTTTGTGTTTCTGTCTTGTTGTTTAAGATGGGTGATGAGTGTTTGTGTTTCTGTCTTGTTGTTTAAGATGGGTGATGAGAGTATATTGTTTCGTGACTGACGAAGAAACTCTGGTATGAGTAGGGAAAGATAACAACGCGCACAGCCGCGGGGCTGACAGCTGAGATGCACCCAGCCTGGCTCGCTGCCGTCTGCAGGTATTTCGTCACAATGCCAATCGGCTTCATTTTTGCATTACAATTATACTCATTGTTCCAGTTACAGTGAGTCGTCGTCTTTTATTTCAAATTTGTGCAGGAAATGGAGGGTAAGAGGTGCTGATACTTTGCCTCAGATCAGATCCTTTATTTGTTTATTTTATATATTATAACATAGTTAGATTCAATTCATCGTATTCACTCTCAAATTGATTGAGGGTGAGATGGGAATTATTTTCGCGAGGCTGTTTTCTTCACTCTTCGGGAACAAGGAAGGTCGGATTCTTGTGTTGGGCCTCGACAATGCCGGAAAGACCACGATTCTTTGTATGCCTCATTTTTCGCTTCATACGATTCACGTTGTTGTGGTTGCCTACTTGCCTTGGTGATGACTTTTAATTAATTCTCTTTAGCTATTGGTTTTCGCAGATCGACTTCAGATGGGCGAAGTAGTGTCTACTATTCCAAGTACTTACCTTGTTATCCTTACTTTAAGCAATTCGATACTGTTATTCTATGAACGTGGGTTGACTGACATTTAACGCGCTAATTTTTGGATATTTTCGTTGTTTCTAATTGTTTTATGTTATTCTCTTCTCTTGAGCTTGTTTTGGTTGCTTCCTTGAGTTCATTAATTTGCTGCATCTATTTCATAGGCATAATTTAATATGACAAATGGTGATATGCGAAATGTGTAGTCTGAAAATAGGATTAGGGAAACTTTGCTTTACTTGATTAATGAGTAGATGTCTTTTTCATTTTACAGCTATTGGGTTCAATGTGGAAACAGTGCAATATAACAACATAAAGTTCCAAGTTTGGGATTTAGGTGAGTTTATCATCCTTAATAGAATTGGGATTGTTTTCAAAGTTTGTTCGCTTTCAGGATCCTTGCTGTTTGACTTGGACTCATGAATTTGTTTATTTTCATATGGGGTTCATCATTTTAATTTGTAATTTCTGAGTTTGGTTGTTACTGATTGTGTCATGTGTCGCCCTTGGTTATTTATGTTGAAATTATGAAAAGAAGGAGCTAAGGACTTCTTGGCTTTAGGTTTTCACTCTCATTAGAGCTCCAGAGCATGAAAACAAATGATGTCCATGGATGAATTATTCACATTAATACACAATGGAATGAATTTGTAACAACTATCAGCTATTAAATGTTGCCACTGGCTGTGGTTTCAAATGCTGCCATATATTATAGAAGATAATTGTAGGTTTATCTTAACTGAATTAGAGAATGTAGACTACAAGTCAACAGTATCCTTCTAGTTAGCCTAAGATTTTTTTTTTTAAATATATATAATCACTTCACCAATGAGGGAGGAATATTGTTTTGTTTCGGCGTGTCTCATGAACTAAATGATTGGAATGTAAATGTTTTAAATTTGCTTCCTTATTTTTTCTTTTTCATTCTTTCCATCAAGGAGCCGAAGGATTCTATAAGCTATGATTTACTTTATAGACATACGATTTGCTTATGAGGGTGGGTCGTGATTCTAGAGTATAATTAGGCATCTAGGCCATTAAGCTTAATGCAACTACAAAACACAGTTATAACTTTAACATGTGGAAGTCATAAAATAACATTCAAGAAAATAACCATGGGAATGCTCTTTGTTATCACAATTTCATTTATGCTTAGTGGTTTTGTGATTACTTAGTAGTTTTTCTTCCAACCATTTCTAAGAAGTCATTTCGAAGTTTTTTATTCGTAACATTGGTGGTTCTCCTTGTTGTGGCAGGTGGGCAGACCAGTATCAGGTAACTAATTACTCAAAAAAGTTCCAAGTAATTACTTGTTATTTTTATTTCTATCGTCTATTTAGTTAATTTGTCCAATTTAATGGTTCTCTTTTCAATCACACAATACTGACATTTGTCTGTACACTGTCTAATATTGCCTATTGGATTTGTGCAGTAATGACATTTCTTCGTTCTAAATCCATGTTAAAATCTCTCTCCAATGATTTTTTTTCATACTTTTCTACTTTTCAATAGAATGTTTTATTTTTTATTCTGTATTTAAGAATTGATAGATTTAGTTAATTACTGCCATGGATAAATAGTTTACCCAGGTGAAATTGTCAAAATAATATTATGTTTTCAGGTAGGAATTGCTTTTATTGTTATTATTTTTTTTAAAAAAATTTAACTTTTTTCTTTTGTATATTTTTTAATACTTTATGTGGTGCTTGACAACATCAAGTTCACTTTAATTTTTCAATGGAAGTGGTAAAAATGTCTAGCAGTAGTTTTTTTTTTTTTTTGCTACTATTATTACACACATTGGTTGTTCACTAGGAGCTTTGGTTAACTATTGAATTTCAATGATTGTTTATCTTGAATGTGTTCATATATACATAGGTGGATAAGTCGAAATTTTGAATTAAGAAAACACTTTGCCAAATCCTTCAAATCTGGATAGATTGCTGGTACATTTTTTTGTTAATAGCCAAAGTGCTACATATTTTTATTACTAGATGATGCTACAGCGAGAATCCTTATTTCTATATAAAACATGAGTTGTGGTGAGTGAGTGCATCTTACAATAGACCTTACTCATCTTTGAACCAACCACATGATACACATATACTAAATGATAGTCTTATTTTCCGGTATCTTTTCTTTTTTATTTCTTATAAAACAAGCTCAGCTTTCTTTAGAACTTCCTAATCCCTTGAATCGATGCTAAGATGTTTTGCTTTGTTGTTTAGGCCATACTGGAGGTGCTACTTTCCCAATACTCAAGCGATAATATATGTTAGTGATTCAAGTGATACTGATAGGCTAGTGGTTGCCAAGGAAGAATTCCATGCAATATTGGAGGTGATGTTTCCATTTATGTATTATCAGAAGAAAGTTCATCACCTATATATTTCAAAAAGGATGTTCTTGTTCCGTTTTACACCAAGGTTAATGGAAGATCAAATAAGCTAAACTTTATGTTACTGGACAGATCTTGAGAATGTAATGAAAATATTTTTTATTTCATATGTCACCATCACATATTCATGGTAAACAACTTGCTTGTGCTTGGCTTCAACAGGTATACAATGGTAGACTGTTAATGTAGGGGTTGTAAAATAACTGCTATTATGACGACCCATGTTTATTGAAGGATGTTTGGTTTAAAGATCAAGCTGCAATTACATAGGAAATTAGGGTATAATGTGCTTCGCTACCTAACTCATGAATGTAATACCATGTACTGTACGACATGTCTGAATGTACGTACTCCTCTTGTTCTAGTTCCAAAGTATTACACTTATAATGTCTGTGTTATGACATGTTATATATACAGTTCGAACGTCTGTTGATATATATGCTTGAATGTAATCAAAAATTGCTCTTGTGAATGTTGTAGGTGACACACTTTCCTTGGTCAAGGTCTTCGTGACATCCGCGTCAGTCCCGGACACACCCCTTATTTTGCCGACCATTTCTGGGGCGACTACCCTTCGCGATGTCGTCGGCGAAGATCCTATTGAGTGGAGCTACAAGGACGTAAGGATCTACTTTAATACCTTTCTTGTATTGCCTTCCGAAATTTATAAGAAGTATGACTTAAAGTAATCTCTGTGTTGGCAATTGCAGCTCATGCGCCGGGCTTGAAATGTTGGTACCGATACACCCATGTTAATTGCCCCGTTTGTCATATGGATTGAATGTCGAACCTGTCTTTGGATGGATTGTGTTGAGTTTTTGTTGAACTATGTCTGGAATTGATGCGTAGACCTTTGTGGTTTGAATTCGTATGGTGAAAAATGTGCCTAATGGGATTGATGGATAACCGTATTTGCTTATTGCGTTGTTTACTTGTGTTTGAACTGTTAAGCACGTTTTGCGTAACAGGTTGTTGATGTGTAGATACTAGTAGGCTTGTTCTATGGGTTGCTTTACTTTGTTGGTAGGTATGGAATTCAGATTTTAATATGAATTAATGTTTGCGCGGGGCGTAATGATGATGATGTTTATAGCAATCTTTGTATTCGTAATTTATTTTCGTATGATACGCATCACAGCAGGTCCATTTGTTACGAACAATTTCAATTGCAGCGTACCCCCTGTTTTTCACAATACGCTATTTTTCCGTAACAAAAGGCCAGAAAATCGTTACAAAAAGTGGTCTTTGGATATTTGTTGTTACAGACGGTTTCGTGACTATAAGTAGGTAATATTTTTTTTACGGGGTTCAATGCCGTTACAAATAGTCGTAACAAAAACCAAGTTCTGACAACCGGTCAATGGAAAACACTTGTAACGCGAGGAACTTCCGTAACAAATACCGTAACTAAAAGTCCTGCCACACGCGCGGAAGGATCTACCTTTCGTTACGAGAGAAAATTCGTAACAAACATCGTAACAAATACCATACTTCAGGGAGCGTTGACCGATCGTAATAGTTACGAAAAGTGGCGTGGCAAAAAACATTCGTTACGCGAGTACACATTACGGAAAAAAGTCGTAACAAAGGCGTAGCAAATACGCAAATTGCACGAAATATGGCTTTTTGTTACGATTTTCCGGCCGTAATAGAAAACAGTTTTTTTGGTAGTGATAGTTGTTGCTGTTTTAGTGATTGGTTGGCTAGTGGATTGATTGTTAATAGCGATTCCAAATTGGTTACAATGCAAGATGGGTCTTATTATTTTCTTTGTTATTACTCAAGGACATATGTTCTGCTTCTAGTGTGGTTATCCAAATTGGATAAGGTAATTAATATAACAAACTAATGATAAAAAATATTTGGATATCCATGTTCAATCTCAAAAAATTTAGTTATAGATTCTTTTTAGATTCCATACAAATCTATCCCAAGTCTCTGTAAATACTCCACTAGTGCTCAATTCCTTTTCATACATTCAGCTTCCCTTAGATTCTCCAATACTTCTGCAATTTACTTTTTAGTGCATCTTTATTTCCATTGGGAAAATTCATTATGATAAAAGTTATTATTAATCATCTCCTTTTTATTTCTTTATTTTGTACTTATTGAGGGAAGTTTTAGACATTTATAAGTCCGATTGATTTTGGCTCCGTCGGGAGAAATCATCCTTTCTTTCTCAAAATCCAACGGCACTTTTAGCTTTGTCAAGACCAAATGTATATTTATTATTTTATGGTATTTGAATTTGGGTTAGAAATCATGAACTCTTAGATTATATATTAGGTTTTAATCTGTGGTTTGGAAGAATGATTAATACCTTCTGCTTTGTTAATGATAATTGCTCTATTTATTTACATTTAGCTATCAAAACTTAGAAATTTTCATTATAATTGAAATCCTATAAGTCATGCTTGTATAGAATCCAGCAAGCTTTGCATAGAGTCTATTATGGTATGTTTTCATATGATCTTTTATTCAGGTTTTCAGATTTGATCTTCTGCGCTGTGAGGGGCGATCCGATGTCTACGATGTCAATGGATGGAGCTTTGTTAAGAACTCCTATAAGTAACATTTTTGTTTGCTAATTCTATTTTCCTTGATTGTATGGGTGTGGAACAATTTTGTAGATCTATAGTGTTCTGGGAAGAGAGGAAACATCAACCCATTGGTTGTTTGATATTCCTTAAATCTGTTGCATCAGTAAATTCAGAAGCTAAAGAATGTAAAAATTATCGAATATGTCGACAAGCACACACACCAATGCAAACACAAACTTATGGAGACAATACACACAAACATACACTAAAGAATAAAGACAAAAAAACTTGTATTTCCTCTTCAAATTAATCCTTACATGACACACAAAAATACACCAACGGACTACATTTTAAAATAACATAGATACTTCACAGATTAAAAGCACAATTAATCCTACCATAAATTGCATTATTCTAGTTTATTATCTATCCTTTTAACACCCAATATTCTAGTAAAACTTCCATGCATTATATGCATTTTAATACCTACTAACCACATAATTAAACACCCAATTCAACACCAAATTAAAATTTCATTTAAGTTTATTCAACCAAACACTCCCGTAAACTTAAATGCTTCAACCATCCATCATGCCAATAACGTTTTTGTAATTATTGAGAAGTTCCTTCGGTAGTGGTTTTGTAAATATATCCGCAATTTGGTCTTGACTTAACACATGCACCAATTCCACACTTTCTTCCTTCACTTGATCTCAGATAACATGAAAGCGGACATCAATGTGCTTACTTCTTTCATGGTTTACCGGATTCTTTGCTAACTCAATTGTTGATTTGTTGTCAACTTGAATTATAGTTGCACATGGTTGCTTCAATACCATCTTACGGAACGAATTCCTTAGCCATATCGCATGACATACACACCAAGATGCTGCCATATATTCAGCTTCACACGTCGAGAGTGTCACAATTAGCTGCTTCTTTGAGAGCCAAGTAAACGCCGTGTTTTCCATGAAGAACACATAACCGCCGTGCTTTTCTGATCATCTATGTCACCACACCCATCACTATGGGAGTACCCAATCAACTTGTAATCATCCGTTTTCGTGTAGAACATCCCAAGTGATATTGTTCCTTGAATATATCGTAGGATTCTCTTCAATGCCTTCCAATGTGAATAAACCGGCTCCTCCATGAACTTGTTAACAATGCCACGCTTAATAAAATATCCGGTCTTGTGCATGTGAGATAGCGAAGACTTCCTATGAAACTCCGGTATCTACTTGCATCGACATGCTCTCCTCTATCAAACTTTGAAAGTTTTACGCCCGGTTCCATAGAAGGGTTGCAATCCGCCATCTTGCACTTCTTCAAAAATCTCTTTTGCATATTTTTCTTGTGATACAAAAATGCGTGTCTCTACTTGTCGAACCTCCAATCCAAGTCATCTCAAATTCCCGTGCCATCGCTTCCTTAAACTCCTTTATCATCTCATCATTGTTACCCATGAAAATAAGGTCATCAACATAAAGAGCAACAAAGAACATGTTACATGCATTATTCTTTGTATAAAGAGCATGGTCATAGGGACATTGGTTGAACCTATTATTCTTGAAATATGTATCGATGTGCATATTGCATGCCTGCGGTGCTTCTTTCAACCCATAAAGCATTTTCTTCAATTTTAGCACCTTATTCTCTTCTCCAGCTTTCACATATCTGGGTGGTTGCTCGATATAGATATCTTCTTCAAGTACTCCATTCAAGAATGCCGATTTGACATCCATTTGATATATCGGCCATTTCAATTGAGCAGCTTGTGAAATGAGTAATCGAATTGTCTCCATACTTGCAACATTAGCAAATACCTTGTCATGGTCAATTTTTGCCCTTTTCTTGTATCCCTTTGTAAAATGTTGCACCTTGTACCTTTATATCTCCCCTTGAGCATTCATCGTTTTCTTGAATACTCACTTCACTCCAATGGGTTGATTTCTTTCCGAAAATTCCGTTAGATCTCATGTTTTGTTGTGGTTAATCGCCTCAATCTTCTCATTCATGGCAAGTTGCCATTTTTGTCATGCACCGCCTCTTCAAAGCTGACATTTTCAGAATCTATCAGAAGACATACAAGGTGTACCTCATTAGTCGAATCTTACAACTCTTGCACGTTTCACATTCGGGGATGTCGTGGTTCATCTTTATCATCGAAAATTTCAGCATGTATGGTGTAGCAATTGATGATTCTCCCACTCCATGAATAGCCTCCACAAAATCATTCTAATCCCACTCACTTGCTTCGTCTACTCGCACATTACGGCTCACTATCACCTTCTTGCTTATTAGGTCGAGAAACTTGTATCCTTTTGTCTTCTTATCATATCCAATGAAAACATACTTTTTGCTTTTGTCTTCAAGTTTCATTCTTTGTTGATCCGGTACATGTGCATAAGCCATACTACCGAACACTTTGAGATGAGACACCATCGGCTTTTGTCTGCTCCACGCCTCTTGAGGTGTTTGATCATGTAGCTTTCCATGTGGATATCTATTTTGTATATAGATGGCACATCATACAGCTTCCACCCAAAACTCCTTTGGCATCATTTTGCTCTTGAGCATTAATCGAACCATGTCAAGAATAGTTCGATTCTTTCTTTCGGCCACTCCATTTTGTTGAGGAGAGCATGGTGCAGTAAGAAATCTTCTTATGCCTTGCTCCTCACAATACTCCAAGAAAGCCCTCTAAGTATACTCTCCACCTCGATCCGATCGTATGGCTTTTATATGTCTACCAATTGCCTTCTCGACCATCACTTTGAATTTTTTGAACACCTCAAATGCCTCGGATTTCTCTTTCAAAAAATAAACCCAAGTTTTTCGTGAGAGATCATCAATAAAGGAAATGAAGTACCTTTTGCTGCTGAAAGATTCGGGGATGATTGGTCCACATATATCTTAATGAATCATCTCCAGAAGAAATTTAGCTCGATATTCCACCTTGTTTTGAAATGATGTTCTTGCTTGCTTTCCAAACGCACATTCTTCACAAAATTTTCCATCATAATCCATGTCCGGCAGCCCGTGCACCGTATTCTTCTTTGCTAGCTCTTTTAGACCACCACGATGTAGGTGACCATAACGAAGATGCCAAAGTGACGCCTTGTCTTCTATGTTGACTTGCAGACACCTTTCTTGCAAGATTTTCAAATTCAATTTGTACATTGATTTATTCCCATCTCAACTCGAGCAATCAAATGCCCTTTTTTGTCCTTCAAGAATAGCACCAATCTTTTAAAAATATCGATTAGCCTTTTTTTGTGAGTTGCCCCATACTAAGAATGTTGGTCTTAAGATCTGGTACATAATAAGCATCCTGGATTGACCCAATTAAGCCATCATCTTGTAAATAACGAACCGTACATCGTCCTTTGAC